TATGGTTTTTTATTTTTGGTTTTTTATGATCTTCTTCAGAATTATATTTTTTTATTTTATTTTTTAATATTGAGCTGGTTAAGAATTATAGTTACAATATATGAGGGAAGCACTGTGGCTTTCACCATAAATTACTGTGAATTGCTACAATGTTTTTTTTTTTTATACTTTTTTCTAAAATTATCTTTGTTAATTTTATTTTTTAATATTAAGCTAGTTAAAAATTAAAATTACAAGTAAATACAAGTAAGACTAAATCATGCGGGGAAAACATTATAACTTTCTTTGTAAAATACTGTGTGCTGATACAGTTTTTCCTTGCAAGGTTTTTTTTTAATTTCTTTTTCATTTTATTTTTTATGATATTTTTTCTAAATTATCTTTTATTGATATTACTTTTTAAATATTGTGTTGGTTAGAATTTAATTTTATAATAAAATTTAATTACGTGGGAAAAGTACTGTACCTTTTCTCACAAAACATTTTGGACTGATATAGTTTCTCTCCACACAATTTTTTTGTTCTTGTGATTTTTTTAAAATTATTTTTGTTAATTTTTTTTTAATATTGAGTTGGTTGAGAATTACAATTATAAGTCATACAAATAAGGTTAAATCATGTAGGGAAGCACTATAGCTTTCATCACAAAAACATTGTGAATTGTTTACAGTGTTTTCAGTATGATTTTTTTGTCCCTATTTTTTTTTCAAAAATTATCTCTATTGATTTTATTTTTTTAATATTGAGTTTATTGAGAATTTAGCTTTGTAATTTTTTTAAAATATTATGAATTGTTGCAGTGTTTTCCCATATGATTTTTGATGATTTTTCTAAAATTATCTTTATTTTTTTTTAATATTAAATTAATTAAAAAATATAATTATAATAAAACTAAATCATATAGGGAAAGCGCTGTTGTTTTTCTCATAAAACACTATAAATTGTTATAGTATTTCTTTAAATGGTTTTTTTCATGATTTTATCTAAAATTGTCTTTCGTGATTGAATTGGGGAAAATACTATATTTTTTCTCATAGGTTTTTTTCCTTTCAAAATTATCTTTGTAGATTTTTTTAATATTAATTGGTAGAGAATTTAGTTTTGTAATTTTTTTTCTTTTTATTAACAAAAAAATTAAATCATGTGACAAAATTATTGTCTATTTCCTCACAAAACACTATAGATCACTACAAATCATTTTATTCGGTCTCTAATTTTTTAATCAATAATACAATTTTTTTTCCATCATAAAATACTAACTCCATTTAATTTTCACTATTTATTTAGTATTGGTTTACAATTATAATACCAGTAAGTATATTTACTCACAGCAACATCCATGCATGACATCTCATGATGTTATATCCCGTGGACACAACAAAAAATGCATCAAATTCTGTAGATTTTAATTACTGAGGAAAATATTTAATTCAAATTCTGACTAATATCCACTGTTGTTCAATTAAGACAAAATTATATAGAATGTAAACAATTAGAATGATATTTTTTTTTACGTGCATGTGATTTTCTATATTTAAACAAGTGGTGAATTCACAAGAGATTTTATTATATCTATCCCTGTATTAGAATTTAAAGGGACACATAATTAACAAATCAATTCACTGAGATTAAAATAAGTTATTTATCATGCAAGAGATGGAACAGTGTGGGGCCTCAGCAAAGGAAAAGGAATTTTTTTCTCCTCTTTTTTTAGTTAGTTTATATTTAAAGGGTGTCTGAAAATGCATTAATAATTATTTTTAAAAATATTTTTTTAGAAATATATATAAATAATATAAAATTATAAAAAATTAAAATTTTATTAAATCTTCAGTGTAAACACACCTCAAGACGTGATAAGACATGATGTAAGGCGCCAAAGGGAAATGATACGAGAAAAATAAGATCAGCCAGGAAGCTGATGGAAAAGCAATTTCCAGAAGCATGCCGTCAAAATTTCACGAGAAAGTGCGGGCGGTGGGTGGCAGGCAAGGGAGCCCGTGATGGAAAAAAAAGAGTCAGTGCATATGATAGTACACTTTACAGACACATCGGCGGTTGAAACTCCTCTTTCCCATTTGACCATGCCATCAAAGTACTCAAATACGCTATAAAGTCTCTCTGCCTGCAAATCCATCTTTCAATCTACTCAATTGCCTACTGTCTTGTCTCCTGTTTTTTCGGTGTTCCGGATTGTTTTTCATGATTGAAATTGAACACGAATCTTACATGAATGTTTGTTTTTGTGGATACTTTCATTTTTTTTTTAAAATTTATCACAAAAAATAACCATTTAGTAATAATTAAAACGTTATTTATTATTCACGTACACCATTATTATTTACGTTTGAAACGCGAGGGGGATGAAAGCAGCTCTTCGCTGCTTTTTGCATGGAGGAATCACTCTTTACAGTTTATATATTACTATTTCGGTTAAATTGGATTTTAAATGTATTCAACGGCTTAGTAAAAAAAAATTAATTTAATTTTTTTTATTTTTAATTATATTTTATTTAAAAAATAATATTTAATATTATTCAATAATACTCCATAAAGATCGCTTGATAACGTAATATTTACAGAATTTAATTGCAATCTCAATTTTATTCCTAATTATATTTTACTCAATGTTTTTGCATGCTTATTTTTTTAAGAAAAAAAAACTATAACCTTTATCGGATGTATTTCATATATGATTGAATTATAGATAGTTTGATGGAACAATTAAAAATATTTTATAAAAAAATATTATTTATTTCACGATGTAATAGCAATAGTTAAATTTATAATATTTAAATTAAAAACCATCAATATTAATATATATTTTTAAAAATTATTTTATAACATTAATTTTAAAAGTATTTTTAATCAAACATATGAAACTATTTTTTGTTTATCCTCAATTTTAATTATATTTTTAATCAAATATATATAAATACCAAACTAGCCTCAACCGAAAGTATATTTTATAAAATAATTTTTTTTCAAACTATAATTATAAAAACTATCACAATACCAAACACAATATTAAACACTATATTAACTGATTAATCTCGGACTTGGACATGCTAGATTAAAAAATCAAGTAAAAATTGACACAACATTATGGGATGGAATAGTCAAAACCTAATTTTATTTTTTTATAAAAAAATATTTTTTAAAATTATAAAATAATATTGCTTTTATTTATTCAAATCAACTGGTGTGACTTGGATTAGGGAGCTGGGTTTAACAACCTGGATTGAAAACATGAACCAACCATGAGATGCAAAAGGGGATAATCTAGAATGGGCTAAGCCTTGGTATAAAAGCCCAGAGCTAAGTAAAAGTTCAGCTTTACCGGGCCTAATATTGTCTTCAAATAAATCACGCGGGTCGGTAGAGTACAAGATTCACGAGCTAGTATATTTGTTTTCATGCATTAAAGAGAGTTTCCTCTTGAATTTCAGTGGGCTAACTTCAAGTTTTTTTTTCCCTGTCCAGCCCAATCCCAGGCTCTACGACGCTATTGCCCTCGTTATATATATATATATATATATAATCAAGTTAAGAAGTTCAAATTTCAATTAAATATAAATTGTAACTCGATTTTTATAACAAATTTTATATTTTATATAAGTCAAAGTTATTTTCAATTGAATATACCTATAATTTATTTTAAAATCAAGAATAAGAAATAACTTAAATTAATTAATTAATAAAAATATTACCAAGAAATAATCTTAGTCTCCTGAAAGTATAAAAAAATAAAATTAAACACAGCAATTATTTCAAGCACCACACCCCATAAAATCCCACAGTTGAAGACTGTAGTGAAAACAAGGGATATCGCTACAGCTTAGCTAGTTTTTTCAGGTACAAATTTAGTGGTCAAGAAAATTTACTCTTTTTTTTT